CGCGCGAAGCTCCCGGCGGCCCGAATCCACTTTCCCTCCCCAGGTCCCCGCCCCCGCGTCGGGGCCCCGCAGCCTCGCCAGAACCCCTTCGGCGGGGCCCGGGTGCACTCCCTGGGCGCGTTCCCAGCAGCATCGGCCGGGTCCCGCTTTCCCCAGGCCGCTTCGACGCTGCCCGGGCTGCCACTGCCTGACACTGTTGCACGTGCCCATCGACGTCTACCTGGCCATGGGCGGGAGCCCCCGGGCCCGCGCCACCTGAGGGCGCCTGCGCACGGCGGCTCCCCGGGAGCCGGGCGGGACGAGGCCCGCCGCGGGCCACCACGCTGAGGTCGCGCGCGCCGAGCACGAGACAATGATGCACATTTTAAAATAAAAGAATGATGCACATTTTAATAAAGCACAGCAAAAACTGTTCTTTCCACTCCAGGCTGGCCGTGTATGTCTATCCCGTCGATCGGCCCGCAAATTGCTCTGCCCCATCCAATGGCACCTTCCTTTCGGCTGTCTCCTCCCTTTGACCTAGCCGTAGAGGTCCGCCCTCCCAGTCCGCGCCAAGACTTTCCACCATTTCTTACTGGTCCTGACCCCTTCCAGGGCAACCTTACCCCCTGCCGTCGTCCTTCTCATCCCTCTCCTTGGTTCTCCATTGAAATTGGCGTAGCTGTGCTGCGTTCTGGGGGTCCCAAGAAGCTCTGGACTGGAGAGGTTGGACAGACAACTTAGAATAAAGAGAATGGCCGCCCACACTAGGCCCATTTAATTCTCCCAAGATAGAATTAGATTTTGCTACCTGCTGTTCTGTGACCCTGGGCACCTCTGGCTTTGTTGGAGGGATTAGGGGCCTCCTAGGCCATCTAGAGCTTTGATTTCTCCTAGGAGAGGTGGGACCAGAAAAAGATAGGGAAAGAAATCGTTTAAAAGACTTTGATTTCTGGGAGCCTGGGTGGCTCAGTCCGTTGAGCATCGGACTTTGGCTCAGGTCACGATCCCATAGCTTGCGGGTTCTAGACTCAAATCAGGCTGTGCTGACAGCTTGGAGCCTGCTTCGGATTCTGTGTCTCCTTCTCTCTCTCTGCCCCTCCCCTGCTTGTGCTCTGTGTGTCTCTCAAAAATAAATACACATTGAAAAAAGAAGAACTCGGGGCGCCTGGGTGGCGCAGTCCGTTAAGCGTCCGACTTCAGCCAGGTCACAATCTCGCGGTCCGGGAGTTCGAGCCCCGCGTCGGGCTCTGGGCTGATGGCTCAGAGCCTGGAGCCTGCTTCCGATTCTATGTCTCCCTCTCTCTCTGCCCCTCCCCCGTTCATGCTCTGTCTCTCTCTGTCCCAAAAATAAATAAACGTTGAAAAAAAAATTTTTTAAAAAGAAGAACTCTAGGAACCACAGCAATTTTTTTTTTTAAAGAAAGACTTTGATTTCTCATTTCTATTTTATAGGTGAGGGAACTGAGCCTTGAGAGACGTTCCCAGGGTTCCCCCAGATGATAGGTGGATAGGCTAGCACACTCCTCAGTATCCTCTGACTTAATACTCTAAAATTTACATCCATGGGGAGGGTGGGGGGAAGAGGGGGTCCATGACCCAAGGCTGCCTGGAAGTGTGACATTGAACTGAACAAGTATTTTCCACTTTCCAATTTTGTTTTAATGAGCCTGGATTATTTTAATATTGGAAAAAATATACATAACCCAAAAGTCAGGTTCAGTCTCCTGCCCCCTGAAATCAAAGTACAAATGACTTAACACCCCTACTCCACATGGGGTAGAAGTCCCAGTCCTCCCTAGAGCACTTCAGAATTCCACAGTCACCCAAAAGGACCACCATTGTCGATCTCCACACAATTTCTCTCCCAGGCAGTCCCAAATGTAGGAGACTTATTACAAGAGAACAGGATGTCAGTGTATTACACACCTGAAACTAAGTACACTGTAGGTTAACTAACTGGAATTTAAATTAAAACTTAAAAAAAAAAAGTAAATACATTATTATTTTTTGAAATTTAATTTATTTTGAGAGAGAGAGAGAACAGATGGAACAGAGAGAGAGTGGGAGAGAGAGAATCCCAAACAGGCTCTGCACCAACCAGCACAGAACCCGATGCGGAGTTCGAACCCATGAACCATGATGAGATCATGACCTGAGCCAAAGTCAGATGCTTAATGGACTGAGCCACCCAGGTGCCCCTAAAAAAGATATACATTAGAAAAAATAAGGGGCGCCTGGGTGGCGCAGTCGGTTAAGTGTCCGACTTCAGCCAGGTCATGATCTGTGGTCTGTGAGTTCGAGCCCCGCGTCAGGCTCTGGGCTGATGGCTCAGAGCCTGGAGCCTGTTTCTGATTCTGTGTCTCCCTCTCTCTCTGCCCCTCCCCCGTTCATGCTCTGTCTCTCTCTGTCCCAAAAATAAATAAACGTTGAAAAAAAAAATTAAAAAAAAAAAATAATAGTAATAAAGAGGAGAGAATGTTTGCCAAGAAAGGGTCTACTTCGAAGTGAGGACTTTAGACTTGACCATCCACTGCCTGGTCCTTCAAACACCCTAGTTCTTAAAAGCCCTTCCATGCCTCTCTTTCTCTTTCACCCACCAGGAGAATCCTTGGCTTCAGGCCACAGTGCTGGTTTCACTCTCCCCTTTATTCCTCTCCTCCTCCACCCTTAATTCCTAGAGAGCCCCCAGGGCTCTCAATACTCTCTATTAAGTGGAGTAATCCAGCTGTTTCCATCCCCAACAAACTCCAGGCAGGCCCTACTCAGCCTAACAACCCGGGCTGCTGCTCTGCAGAAAAAGGGCCTTCTTCCCTGGGAACAGTACGCCTCCTCCTTAGGAGGCCACTGTAAGTTTAGAGAGAAAAAAATTATTGGCCTCTGTATTGATAAGGTCTCTCCTTTGCAGGCAACTAAAGTTAACTTATGCCAAAAAGGAATGGATTGTTTCAAGTGGCTGGGAAAGGATATAAGCTTTCCACATACCTAAACTTAAAGGAAGAACTGTAGGAACCAGGATGTTGGCTGGGCCCACTAGGACTGTCCCCTTTTGTTCCTCTCTAATCCCTGATTATCTCCTCTGGGCAGGAAACATGGCTGCTGCTGTTTGGAAATCTGCAATTGGAAGGGAGAGTGCTTTCTCCCAGTCTCAGTTTACCTGACCTTGGGAAGGGCAGTGATTGGCCCTTCTTAAGTCACATGCACACTCCTTTGGCCAGTTACCATTATCAGGGAAATGGGAGATTATAACTGATGAGCTGGGCCAGCGGTGAGCCTACCCTGGAGTTAGAAGCATGGCCGGCCAGGTGACTGAGAGCATCACCAGAAAATAATGGGCAGAGATGGAGAAAAATTCC